TGAGAACACGAGAAGCACATGTTTGCAACAAGTTGCGGATAGTTAGCCTCTTGGAGATAGAAGAGAGGCATTTCGCTTTCTAATGAGTTACTCAGGAGCCTCCAGCTCAGGCAGCCCACCATGAAGCGAAGTAGTCGAGAATGCAGTAGGGCGATGCCAGTTTTGACTAATGCTGAGTGACGGCGCAATGAAAAACATCGCGAATGCGTCCACATGGGGCCGGGAGGAGTTCCAGAACCCTGGTGTGCCATTGCAAGCAAAGAGCTGGTTTCAGAGTGCGCCGAGATCCCTCTTAGTTGGTGCAAGAGCTGTAAGCTGAGCAGCACCTCCTCAGTTTTCTCCATGCTGGCCTTGGCCACATTGGAGGTTCCAGCACCGCGAGTCAACCTAAACCCTGACACTGCTTGTACATAGCTTTGACCAACCTTTCAGGGCCCCACCAACTGCTGCAGCAACCTTGTGTTCTTGTAGTGCGTCAAAGCGTGGCTGGTCTCGTTGTTGTAAAGTGGTTATGTGCACACCAGGCAAGCTCTGGGGCGAGCCCCCCGACTCAGAGGCTTGCTCCGCCTGTTGGCTCTCCTTCAGGAAAACTTCCCCGCGAGGAGATTTTATTGAAGGCATACAATGACGGACAAATAGCTCGTTGAATCACGAATGATTTGCTTGGCATACTTGGACCTTGCTTTGAAAAGGCGATTGCTTCCTCCATACCTTGCATGAATGGACATTGCGTGGGCATCCTAGGCAGTGTCAACTCAAGTTCCATGCGCTGAGGCCGATTGATCTTAATCAACTGGCAGTTCACTTGCAAACGGTGGCGCCGCACAACGCCCGGCACAAACAAAGGACCGCCCTGAAATTTGGATCGTGGTGTGCAGCGTTTGTGGCTAGGAGGGCTCTTGCTACTGGTGGGTATGGCAGTTTAACCCTGAAAATTTGGAAGCAGTTGAGATGCACTTTTGTGTAATGGACTTGCCTTTGCGCCCTTTGCGTCTCCAAGAGCCTTGAGGCTCAGTCTGACATCTGAGTCTCAATCAACATTCCTGTCTGTAAATTGAAGCTGTCGATCAATCTTGACCATTCAGTAACTGCGAGACCCCATGCAAACTTCTCGGGTGAAGTCAACAGAAATGCAGTCGCTTGAGAGCATGGTGCAGGATGATAGCGGCCATCGAGAGTGGCGAGTTTCTGAAGGCAGACTGTAGCATGCGGCCCTTGCGTCTCTGAGTCATTTATGTCATATGGGTCTCTTGACGACCGCAGCAAGTTGCCAACAAGCCTTGTCCGGTGCCCTTCCTCTTAGGAGGCATTCCAGCATTTCAAGGAGTGCGACACTGACAGGTTGGGCCCTGTTTCATGTTAGCCCGGTTTGCAAGAATTTCAGGGTTCGGTGTGTTCCAGGAATGGCCACCTGACCTGGAACGAACGGGAGATCCCCAAATTTATCACCAAGGCTCAAAGGACTAGTTGCAATGTCCAGTGTAAGGTCCGCCTTGCAGGTTTTCCGGAAATACGATTTGGTGGAGCCAAAGGAGGTCCACAGCAGATCGCGCAGACTGGAAAGGCCTGGCAAATTCCCTGGCAGCGTGCAGCTGCTTTGAAGGCACAGCTCTACGAGATCTACAGACATTACGATGGCGACCAAAGTTACAGCTTGGATGTACGTGAGAGCTTGTGTCTGGCGCTTCCCTCAGACTTTTGGCAATTCTCTCGAAGGCCTTACGGAGGTGTAGTGCAACAACTGGCCTGAGATTTGCGTAATTTCTATTCTTGCAACTGCAATCGCAACCACTTGCGCGCGTGCTGCATGATACAAGGTAGATGCAGTCGTCGGGTCCTCAGTCTTTGCTGTACTTTTCTAGCTGTGCCCTAAGGAGATGTGTCAGGATGGCTGTTTTGAGGGTGTTAAGCTCTCCCCTCATTCTTGTATGGCTGGCCGTGTTATCCTTTGTGCTCATGGCTAAGGTCAGAGCAATGTACCTGGATATGGCTCGTCCCTCAGCTTCTTTGGACGGCTGCTGTGGAGCAGCAGGACGAAAGACAAAGACATGAATGATGGACGGAAAAATGTTGAATGGTGAGCAATGAGCCAGTCGTGCACCTATACTACTGAGAGGACATGACGAACCTGACAGTGCCATTTTTAAGTCAGATTGCATGCAAGAAGCCCGCACAAAGAAGCATAGAAAGGGAAGGGAGTGCGGAGAGAATAGCAGCAAGCTAGGACATGCCGAAGAGAGCACCACTTGAGAGGGCATCGGGAGCAGAGTGCACGGAAAAGAGTATACCAGATTGTTTTTCCTATCGTGTAGACCAGTACCCATTTCTTCACACAAGTCAAGCATATATACAAGTACTGATAGCTCTCACACTTATCTTTAAATCAGCTCTACTTGTAACAGGACTCTCCGAGTACCATTCCCATCACCATTTCTCCCAGGAGTTCCCTCCTGGTGAGAAATCCTTGTATGGTGGCAACCTGATCCCTCATACTCGCTCATCCTCCCCAAATCTCCCTAGGCTTCCCTGGATACCTCGAGTCATGTGAATCAGACTTGCGAACATTGCTGCAGTCACCCCAGAGCCGCTCCAACCGTTCGGGCAACCGCGTGAGCTTCAGCCAAGAGGTGGGGGGGTTTTGTCAGGGCCTAGGCATTAGGGTCTAGTGGGCTTCGAGCTTACACAGGGTATCCTGTACTTTGGGGATGACAGGTGACCGCAAAATCTCCATTACGTTTCAGACCTGGTGATCTGCAAACAGCCACAGGGATGGGGCACCTGGAGGCTTGAGATGGTACATTGTTCTAAAACAAAGCCAAAAAAGCCAAGATGAAATTCCTCAGGAATGTTACTTTATTTCTGCATATGCGGATGTATAAAGCTGTATAGGTGCAATGGGTCATCCCCGCAACATAAAAACTTGCAAATGCCCTACATATGTCCTTAGTTTCCTAAAGCCTCCCACCCACCCACACCCAGAGGAGGCAGGGCTATGAGCCTCATGAAGACTTCATATTATCCCTGTAGATCCCACCTCCCGACCACATCCTAGAGGTCACCTACATGAGGTGAGTGAGGGATGCCTGATCTCAGGCAAGAGCAATGAACATAGGGGGGGGGGAGAGGTGGCCCAGCAAGAGAGTGACCACATAGAGGGATTCTAGAGGATCATGGGGAGAAAGTCTGTTGTATTGTGCTGTTTTGGCTTCAGGAACAGGAGAGTTTTTGTTGATCGTACAACCGTTTTCGAGAGTGCTGCAGTAGAGAATTCGAGATGTTCAGCAGAACCTTAAACAGCGGCAGGTCAGCCCAGTACACTCTGCGGGATCTCACCTAGAGCGACGCAGAATGCTCAGCGACGAGGCATGCAGATTCTGCTCATGCATTTGATTTGTTGTGTGGCGCTTGCGTGAGAAGGGAGACTGGCAAGTCCAGGCTCTGACGGGTGCCTGTGAGCATTTATTCAGATTGTTATGCAAATTCGGTAGACAAGGTCACTTTGGGTTCAAGTCAAGTCTCCCGGTTCAAGTCTCCAGGACCAGTCATGCATGGAAAACAGTCCCCTGCCTTCAGGAGGCTGCAAGACGTGTCGCTCTCCAAGAGGCGGCGCGAGAGCGGAGGTTTGAAGACCTCCTGAGGCGAGCCCGCTGCCTTGAATAGTCACACACTGGTTCAGGGTTTCAGAGGTTGTGCGAGCATCCGTGCTGGCCTGCGTGTACTTCTTCAGCACAGATTCTGCTCGGGATCCAGTTTTCAGATGCACCCATACTGTGCACATGGAATGGGTTTAAAGAATCTTGCAGCCGGGTTGTTGACGGTATCCTCGTGCGGCGTAGTTGGAGCTGGCACTTTGAGTGGGTCTTCCTGCCAGGAAGTGCAACGAAGCCATCAAGGACCGGGACAAGATGGCGACCTTGCACGCCGGACCCTCAGCCTCATGTCGACGTTTATGAGGTCGGAGAAACTACATGTGAGTGCAGGATGCGGGTTTGCCACACCAACAGAAACTCTTGCTCTGGAGAGAGTACTTTCCGGAGTATGCAAGTGACAAAAGTATGAGCAACGTGCGGTCTTTGCTGCTGCCGTCCGGGATTGAAATTGTGATTTGCAATCCAGGGTTATGTCCTGTGGACGTGGCCCTGAGGTCGTTCTAGGAGCATGGAGACGGTTTGCCTCCTCCTCAGCATCATTGTAGCATTCGGTGGCATGTCTGGCATTCTAGGCGCGTACAAAGCTGTTGCCAACAATCTTGTGATTCGAGGCCGTCCACGCGGTTGGGGCTACAATGCTTGAGGCCCTGCAATTCGCTGAGTATGGCATTTTGTACAGTATCGGTTTGATTTGGAGAGGGTTTCTTTGGAAAGTTATGGGCGGAAGCAATCCGCCTTGAGCTGCGACACAGAGACAAGCCTGTGCTGGTTTTCAGGAGTGGAAGAAGAAGCTTGCAGAGGCAGGAGTACATGTGTCGTTCTGACGCCTTAGTGCAGAGCACAGGCGGCCATAAACTACCAAAGTTGCTGTTTGAAGTCATTCTTTGGCTTAGCAGACTTCACCCAGAGATGGCCTACTGATTGCCGGGTGAAATTCAACTTAATAAAGAAGCTTGTGCAAAAATGGATCCGTTCCTTTGCTTCCGCAAGGCAGAGAGGAAGCTGCGCGAGGACTCCGTCTGCAACCATGGTTGCTGTTGCTGCTTGGCAGGGTTGTTCAGAGCGTTGATGTTTCTGGCTGTGCCATTGACATCATTTCGAAAGCTGCCTTGTGCGGTACGACGGCGCCGTTATGGTTCAAGCTGCATCTGCCAGCTGCCCGCAGCCAGACATTCAACGTGCATAGGTATGACCGTATGACCAGCCACATGCAAGTGAAAACTAGTGGGCACGTGGCATCTCGCTCGCGTCCTTAGGTTTAAGCTGAGGATCTTTAACATCATAAGGCAAACGCAACAGCTTTCAGCGATTGCATCTGACAAAAGATGGTGGCAACTCGCCTGCCGCGCAATGTCAGATATTTGTGGCAGGACGCGGCTGATTTGCATCTGTTATTCAGTGGCATCATTTGAAATCGCTGCTAAAACACAAGAGTCCGAGGACTCAAACGAGTGATTCTGAACCATTCAGCGTACGTGAGGATGGCAACGCAACAGCCCCACAATAATCCGACCACCATGTCGATAGCAAACCCTGTACCATTCCTTCACTTTCAGCAACTCAGCATATTCATAGCAGTGATTTAGTAATAGCAGTGAGGAGGGCGTGTGGCCTGGATTTTCTTCATATTCCTTGCAACAATCTGTCAAGCTCCAATCCTTCTCAGTCGCAGCAAATCAGCGCAGTAGTTTGCACATTCCTGTGCTGTAGCCGCAATCCGTAACATGATAATGCTCCTTGTCTATTCGATCACTGCATAGCAGCAATATGCATACGATTGGCTTTTTCCGTTCCTTGTAGTAACAGTTAGTGACAGCAAGGCCAGATCTAGTTTCAGTCTTCTCTCCATTCCTTGTGAATAGTAACAGTTTGCACGCCGCAGTTTGCGGTTTGAGATCCTTAGCCACAATGTTAGCAATCATAGTCAGGCTAGTAGTTTCAGTCATCTTTCCAAATCGCCATTTCTATTCTAGTAAGTAGCTGTGACCAGCTCATAGAAAGGGTTACTTCATGTTCCCTTGCATGTCTTCATCCCTTACCTGCTGCCACGGGAAAGGTGAACAGCATCAACAATTATAAGCACCAGTCTCCATTCTTCTTCTCAGGTCATTTCCTCATCAAACAAGGCAAGGTTCCCCAGAAGCCAGGAGCCCATTGGTTCTATCTCGGCTGCCTCCCGAGATTGCAGCCGGCGAAACCTGCAACCACAGCTGGGGTCTTGAAATGCGTAGACAGCAAGACATGTACATGTGCATGCAAAGTGGAACATGCATTCTTGCACCTACTGTGGCACCCTGGCAGGCCCCCCCAAACCTGTTGTGCAATGGTACGGTCAGGCTTGAGTCTTGGGGATAGACCAGGAACGTTACGCGAGGAATATTGGATAGAGCCACAAAAAGAAACGTCACGGAAGGACTTATGGATTGAATTGTATGGCCTTGCTCACATAAGGAGTCTCCAGAGGTGCGTTAACGGAACGACACCACCTAAACCATAACCCTCCATGTTCCCCCAATCTCCTTTGGACTTTCCATTTTATTTTCCATGCCTCGGGATGGGGAAAAGCATTTTTTTTTGGCCTTGCTGCCTTTTAGCTTGAGGTTTGACACCCTTTTTTTGGGTCCCCTGGTTCCGTGGTCCCCTGGCCCCTGGGAAGCAAGGAAGGAGGGGCGGACGAAGAAAGCAGGAAGGAAGAAAGGGAGCGAGCAAGCAAGCAAGCAATTCTCTTCTCAACCCGCCGGCCCTTTTAAGCAGTGCAACTCTGAAGGAGTTGCTGCCTGCACGCGGGACACGTATGAATCCTCAAGGCCTGATCTACCAGCCTTGTGGGCTGCCCCCCCACCCCCCCTTCTCGCACCCGCGTTTTTTTGGCCGTACGATCCTGCAGAAATTGCTGTCAGACCCATATTATCCCCGTCAAGACATGGCATACAAGCCTTCTGTTTGCAGATGAGCAAGCTGCGCCCACAGGCGGGATTGTTTTGTCCAATGTCATTACTACTATTACCAGAATCACATTATTTCCGTTGTTGCTATTACTATTCTACTATTGCTTTTTCATTGCTGTCATTGTTGTTCTTATTACGGTCATGTGTTATTGTTATCATCACTTTCTTAGTAGTATTCGCAATTTTTCCTCAGTGGCAAGCTCTGGCGTGGAGCATCCTCACAACAGGAAACCAAGGAAAACAAAGTGAGCAAAACCAAGGAAACACCCAACACCATGGGGGCAGGGGGCAGAGAGCGCACGCAACCACATATGTGGAAATGGATATGTATATGCACAGCATGTGTTTACATGTATATATATATATACATATAGAGTCTTTCTTGGTGGACATATGTATCTACACCTGTGCATGCTTATTGGTACATAGGAGTTGTGAGTGCTCGCAGGACAGTCAGGCAAGCACTTGCAAAACACTGCTTGATACCGGGGACGACCTGATTAGGGGGAATGCAAGCAAACACCCTGCAATTTGGACGAATGCCCAGGTGACCAGCTGGAAGAAGGGCGTGCGGCCGGTTCAAAGCTGGTGTGGTTCTTTCGACATGGACAGAGCACTGGGAATGCCGCTGCTCGCTAGACATTCCGTGCAGAGTGCAACAATTGGGGGAACCCTGCCGCACAACCCTTGTCGACAGTTGAAAGAGACGGTGCAGGCTCGACTCAGGGCCATGGACGCTGACAAGGCAGCGGGAGGAGACATGTTCATGTGGTAGGTTGTTGCTCTCTAAGATCCTGTTGCGAAGTTGAAGGCACTTGGATGGACCTGGCATCAAAGGGGCAAATGACAGATTTGGCAGCTCGCAATATCCACTGCCATATGAGGCCATGCACGCATTCCCTCTTCCATCCTCTCTCCTGATCGCTGGACCAAAGCGTGTGATGTAAACGCCTGGGTGAACATCTTGAACGGCTTTGTTTATCAAGCTTCAAATTTTGACTGTGCTCAAAATTGGACTTGTGCCTCTCTGTTTGTGATTGAGGAGGCAGCGCACACCTCCAAGCCTACATGACGGGCACTGACTATGTTGATGCCCAATTGACGGCACATGGTGCTGAGCAAGCTGAAGCAACTCGAACGCAGGCCTGCCGACTGAATGTCGCTGAAGCTAGCCTAGGACACATCTGATTTCTGAGCTGCTGCAAATGGTTGTTTGCTTGCAGTTGTCCATTGTATCAAAGATGCAGTGTGAACGCAGTGATGCAAGACCGTGCCGCAGATCGTTAACTGGAAATGCAAGCCAAGCCTCGTGGTGTGCTCGCCGATGACCCGTGCCATTCAGACGGCCGCCATTCTCTTTTCGGAGGACCTCCATAACTCTATAAGCCCTCTGATTCATTAGAAGCCACAATATAATGTCAGTTTCCATCTCACTCTCCATTTTCCTTTCCATTTGATACTCCATTATTGAGATGATATCGCCAAACCCAATATACTCCCTATACTTTCTTGTGTCGCTGCAAGGGCTTAGGGTGCTTGGTGTCGCCGATAATCGCCGCAAGGAGCTGATGCAGGGCTGTGAGCTGATCATTTGAAACTCGGATGCAGTTTGGTCATGCGCTCTTGGCCCTTGGCTTCCGAAAACCCAGAGTCTTTGAACTTTGCAACCTCGTTTTGTTTCACAGGGTTTATGATTGAAGGCCAGGATGTGTGGGAGCTGTGAATCTCCCGAGGCCCCGAATTGCGGGAGTTCTACCCGGACAACAACGAGAATCAGGGCCGGACTGTCACCGCTTTGCAGCGGTGTCCAGCACTTGCGGCCCTTGCTGCGTGGCCAGCAGTGGAGAAGGTCAGGCTATGCTAGGAAGGCAACCACAATATCTGGGATGGTGGCGTCCAAGTAGGAGTGTGCTCTCCTGCGCAGGCACTCGCCAAAGCCGCGGGTGAAGACTGGAGGACGGACTGGGATGAGAGCTTGGCAGGTGGAGAAGGTTGGCAGCATCACTGCGGGAGTCTGCAGAGGCGCCTGGCAACCCAACTGTTGTTACCCCGCAAGAGGTGAGAGGACCCAGAACATACAGGGCTGCTGCAGGCTTGCACCTTTCCGCCGCTGGCTGCTTGCGCGGCCTGAAAGCAACATAGCCATAGTGGCGCACTATGGTTCTATCAACAACCTGATCAACATGGAGCCTTTTCAGCGCGACAAGAGGGAGCCTCTTGCGGCTTATGGCCTGCTTTTTGTGCTGTCAAGGTGGCGACTTTGCAGTCTTGAAGCACCTGCAGTGCTGAGCTGAGGAAGAGCGGTTGCGATCTTGGAGCGGGGTTCATCCAGGTACTCAGCGCACTTCCATGAAATATTTTCCTGTGCCGAACTGTGGGTGGATCGCAGTCTTGTATGAAGCGCAAGCTGAGCCAGACTGCAAAGCAGATGGCCAGGAGTAGTTAGCTCTAGCCCAGCTCTGGCATGACTTGCTGACTTTTGTACAGCAATCCCTCGCAAGCCTGGCGATCCTCACGATGGAGGGAGAAAGGTGGTCATCAAACATTGGCGGTCCTGGTCCTCACAAACAACCCGCTTCACCTGCTGTTGCCTTGGGAGGCGTCGTACTTGTTAGGCTTGTACAAGGTAGCTCACCACTTTCCAAGGAAGACTTGCATTGCAAATCGTTTGGGACAGTTTTGCCCCACATACCTGTATGAGAGAAACAGCTTTCTCATGACGCCCGACGTCCACGTGCGCTCATCGGCATCATCGAGTCAGCATTTCTTGTCGATACGAATAAATTCTGGGACACTTTGGCTGATCAACTTAACAGCCGGATTTGCTAGAACAGCAAATTTGGGTTTAAAGCATGACCATCAGCCGGGAACCGTGTTCGAGGTCAGGAATGCCACAGATCAACTGCAGGAGATGCTCCGCCATACATTCATTTAATTGAAAATCCGAATGATGGCTCGCGATTTTATTGCATGTCCGATGATACATATCCTGCGGGCCAATTTTACTTTCAAACGTTCTCAAATCGGTCTAATGGCTTGAGACATACAGTCGAAACCTGCTGCTAGAGGTGAAGTGATACAGGAGCCGGCAGACGTGAAAACATTTCGCATGCAAGGAGCAGCAGAGCTTTCAACTCCGCTTGGAAGATGAGCTCGACAGGTCCCGGCGCCTGAAAGATGTGCATGGTAGACTCTCAGCCTTAGCCGCGGAGGGTGTGGAGTTTCCATGTCCCATTTTTCAGGCTGCAGCGAAGCAGTGTGGGCCCCAGAGCCGGATAAAGGTTGGGAACGCGGTCTTGATCTAGAGAATCGGAGCTGAGGGGCATTGGATACAACGACCAGCGTCGTGTCTGCAGTCGGCTATGCAGAGGCAGCAGCCCAGGCCTGCGACCCGGTCGGTAGCACTTCGCTGAGAAGATTGAGAAGGGTTCTTTTTGCTTCGTGTACTGAGGCTGAGGAAGAAGCTGAGAAGCGCTTTCAGAGGGTGCCCGCCATAGCTGCACATTGTTGTAGACCTCCTGATTTACACCACATTGCAGGAGAGGCATTTGTGGGAGACGCGTTGCCGAGAAGAGCGCCAGCGATTTGAAAGTCACGGACCTTAGCCGTAAGGTATGCTGCTGTGCTTGACATGCAGAGTCTTCAAGCCAAGACCTGCAAGCAGCCCAAGCGATGGCAATTCAGAGTGCTGCCCTGGGCCAAGTCGCGATCAAGCCAGGCATTTCCCGTGAATCGCATGAAAACGCAAGCTTGCAACATGTTGTACCCAGCAAGCAATAGGCGAAGGATTTTTCAAGAAGCCAGAGCTGGGCGAACTAGCGCGATCATTGCCTTCAGCTGTTATCCAGTTCTCCCCAAATCTTCCACAGCTTCATGGATTGCACGCCTGCTGGGACACCATAGCTCGCCGGCGAGCATTCAGGTGTCTGAAGCGGAGAACAGGTTGGAGGTCCGCTTCCAAGAGGTGCGCCGCACAGTTTCGCTTAGAATTCATCCTGGCTCTCAATGAGCGAGCCGCTTAGAATTCATCCTGGCTCTCAATGAGCGAACGCTCATCAGGAGCGGGAGCTCTTCGAGGAGCGTGCGTGCCCAAGAAGACCAGAGGGATGTCAGAGCATCCAGAGCATCCAGAGCATCTCCTAATTAAGAGACTCTGAGACTCGGCTTCCACCAACCAAGGCCTCAAAGAGGAGCGGGAGAAGCGAAATCGCCCCAGCCCCTGCCAGATCTAAATAGAGACATAGCAAGACAATGGTCGACCGCAGAAGGTGGGAGAAAATGTCATTCTGGTTGGGGAGATGCTGAGGCGCTGAAGCGGCAAAGGCGCAAGCACTGGATCACTACTTGGCCACCGCCCTAGGATGGCAAAGCACTGCTGCTCTCAGTTTGGAACCAATTGCGCTAGAGCCCAGGCAGAAGTGCGGACGCAGAAAAAGAACGCCGTTCAGAAGGTCATTGACAGCTTGGCGCCTTTGGCAAAAGCATGCTTCAGCAATCTTGCGGCTCGCGTGTGCCGTTTTATTGACTTATTGACGTTTTGTGAGAATGCTCCATCATGCGCGCACTCTGTGAAATCCTGCCGCTGGCCCAGTTGCCAAAGACCAAAGACAGAGCAGCCGGGCAGCTGAAGAACATCGTGACCACATGGCGGAATCTTGCCAAGGCCGGCTGTTTTGCGCTTGTATCTGGGCGCTCGTAGCGAGCCCATACACCACAAGCTTTTTCCTGGCAGGCAGGTGCACGTCGAAGGGGCCGCGTCAGCGCCATCGACAAGGCGTGATTGGCAGCGCGATACGGTTTTCAGACGACTTGGCCTGACAGGCGGTGATGAGCTGGGGGCAAGAGTCTCACCACATTTGTGGAATGCTTCGTGGGTCCATGGGCTTGGCTAGTATATAGATGGATGAGGCGGAAGGCGATGTCTGGACGTCCAGGCCCCTCTTTCAACGCCTGGCTGCTGCCCGAGCATTTCTTTTACAAGTACTGAATGTTTTCCGTCAGTGCACGGGAACGGACTGACTGGTGTTTGCTGAGGCGCGATGTTCTGCGAGCGCGCAAGCGGGCCCATGCCGCGATGGGTGTGAGTTCCCAGTTCCAACTTGCATGTGTCAGCAACTGAAGGAACACACAGATCTCCGGTCTGGGAACTTGACTGAGGCGTGCTTCAGCGGCAATGGCTCGGTGGCTCCAGAGCTGGTCTGCTTGTCCGCATCTTGGCATTCGGGGGCAAGATGTTCCTTGTCAATGCAGTGCTGAAGCGCGATGGTCTTCAAGCAAATGATCAGTACATCATTGGCAGGCAGTCAAACTACCATGCTGATGCTGCAATAAGATGCAATAGGGATCTAGATAGCATTCTTGCTAAATTGGGGTAGATTCTGATAGGTGATTTTCAGTAGGTCATGCATTCTGGACAGGCCTCTTACTTGGCTGAGTGGCGCCGAGCTCTAGACCAGAAGCGCCAAAGAGACCTGCGAGCGTGGAGCTTGGCTCATACAATCCGCATGTCTGTAACCGCGCTTTCATTTTATGCTCAGAAATCAGAAAGTCGAAAGGAATGATTTTCAGGCCAAGCGGCGTGCAAGAGCTCACGCGCAAGTGGGCCTTCTGCTAGAGCAGCCCCAGCCTTAGGCATGCGCTGGTTCAGCTTTAAACTAGGTTTGCGGGGCAGCGATGGACAGCAGAATCTACTCACTCAATGCTTTGTATGCCCAGCTTGTGAACCCTGAGGTGGGAGCGAGGACGTGAGGTCTCGCTCTGAGACGTACGGTTGCTGCAGGTACGACAGGAGTTTTTGCTGAAGGAGTTTCCTTCTCGTTGCACACCTCTTCTCCTCATACTGGCCGACGCAGATTTTCGGCTTCACACGCGGCCATGTTTGAAGCCATAGCTAGCCTCACTCACATTTGCAGGCCACTGCATGCCTTACTACAATCAGAAGGCCCTGTGGGCGTTAACCTGCAGATGCATCATGATCATAATCATCATCATCAACAGCGTCATCAACCTAACATGGTGAAGCACGCCAGAGATTAGCTCGAGGCATTTTGCTAAGTGCGCGGATGCCGAATGGGAGCGTGGCAGCAAGCCCGCTCATAGCTGGCCTCCAGGAAACTTCTTCTCTCGTCGGAGCTAATACACTTGATGCAAGGTCCAGACTTAGTGACCGCCATTGCTACAAGCCACTGCGCTAGATTCACTAGATGCCGTACCTTCAGCGATCAGCGATCTCCAGGATGCGCAGAAGGAGGCTGTCTCGGATCTGGCAGGGCGACTGACGCAGCAGGAGCAGAAAAGCAGAGATTCTTCTCCAAGAAATGTGTGTGTGTGAATGTCTAATGAATGTTTTACTTCAACGATGCACAGGATGGCTCGGAAGAGGATGGTGCAAGTCTTTACAGCGATCCTTTGGCCCTGGTCCGGTATCTGCGTGCCAGGAGCAGTTGCAAGGGAAGATGGGTGTTTAAATGGTAGGTGTTGACGTCTTGACGACATGGTGCGGCTTGGGCTTGGCAGGAGCTGGGATGTAGATAAGGCAGAGTCTTTGATCCGAAAGACAGGCCGATGGCGCAAGGATCCTTGGCAGAGTGTCTGAGGGCTGAGTGAGATTGTCGGTCCTGCGCAATATTACAAGCCTCAGGAGTTCGGATTCAGTCGCGTCTTTGACGGCTCGAGCACGGAGGATCTGGCCAAAGAGAGTCAGCTCGGCAACATCTACGTGCGTGGCTACGATAAGACAGGGCGACCTGCACTATACTTCAAGCCTGGCGGAGCAGGATTCAACGCTGAAACAGCAGGAGTCAAGTATTTGGTCTACTGCGTGGAAAGGGTGCCTAGCTTGCAGAGTGCAGAAAGCAGCCCCGGATGGGGAGATGTACTCGGATTTTCTCTCTTGTCTTGCAGTCGGTGCAGTCAGCCACAACATTTGCCGGTAATTAGTAAAGATGGAAGTCCACCAGATTCATGTCTGTGCAAGGCAATTGCTTGTGTGGAGAAGCAGGCCGCCAGTGGAAATCTTACCCTTCCTCCAGACGAACCTTTCTTACCTTGGTAGTTTTGGTGTGCACTGGCACCTATATGCTCCAGTGCTCCAGCTAGAGCAAGAGCCTGGTTCTAAGGATCCGGTCGGCAGAAAGTTTGTCTTGTTGGTCGATTTCGATGGCTTGGGCATGAGCAGCCTGATAACTGGAAGCATTGTCCGCGATCTCATCGGGGTCATGCAGGCCTCCTTGCGACAAGTCGAATGCCAAGAGCATTAGGGCCATTGCAGCAGCAGCAGCAGCCACTTATCCATAACAACCGTAGCAACAACAATTTCTAATAGTATGAAAGTGATCGTAATGCGCTAGTCCTGTATTGCGCGGTATGTGGCAGGATCACTACCCAGAGAGGCTGGGTGTTGCTTTCTTCGTGAACGCGCCCTGGCTCCTTCATGGCTTCTTCACTGCGGCAAGCACTTTTCTCGACCCAGTGTCTTGGCTTCGAAGAATGGCGGTTTAGATCTTGTCTGTCGACTCTCCCGCTGTTCTTGTGCTCCAGCTGCAGGTAACAATTGCCAAGTTCAACTTCATCTCAGATGACGTAGAGGAATGCACAACATTGCGCTTTGAGACGGTTTTGGGTAGAAGTTCAACAAATTATGCAGTAGACTTCAGAGCAGCAATGATCCTGCACGCATGCAACTGGGTGTACATTGTCTTGAAATTATGACGGGACATTTTTCTTGGACAAAGGCCATCTTGTTCATCCTAGGTACCTTGTAGGAATTGCAGCCAAAATGGGGGTCAGTAGCAGACATGCGGCTGGCAGGAGCGATCCCAGACGATGCTCGAGCACTTTGACTTGGCATCCCTGGAGCCTGCCTCTGGGTTATAGACAGGACAAATTTTGTGATGGTGTTACCAACAACTCAGGATCTCCTTTTAGGAATTTATGGAATGAGGAATTGAGCTTTTTTGGGGAGATCTAAGGGGGAGGTCTCGGGCATGTTTGCCGTTTGGATGCTTTTTGAAAGGTCTGGAAGGTTAACTGCGCACCCCTACCCGGGACCCTGTATGTGTAAACTACCCACCTGTGTAATTGTAAGAATATCTCCTCTATGTTGGGTTCTAATTTGTTGATTGTGAGCATGCAAGGAACCAGATCTCTTCGGAACATGCCCACCAACTACAAAGTGCACAAATAATACTGCGCCAGTAGATATGAGCATGTCCACAAACGGCATGGTAACTCATATCTAGCGAAAGTATTTTGTCAGTATTCTAGGGATCCTCGAAGAGACCCCTAATTTCTTTGAAGGCCTCGTTTCAGCTATCATTTCAATCCTCCGCCCTAAATCCAAAACCTTAAACAGCATAGTAGTTTCCAGACTCACGCCCCACTAACCACCAGCAAGTTTCAGAATGCCCAAATGTTATGATCCAATGCAATCCAGGCTTTCGGTGGGGCAGATGACGAACCTTTTCGGTCTCACATCTTTCTGAATGTGAGTCAGGGAAAGGGAGTATTTGGCTGCGGGCTCAGTTTTGGAGCCAAGTTTGCTTGACCCCGGTCAGTACGGAAGGAAGGAATGGGTGATAAGGGATATAATATACATTCACATATATATATATATACACATGTACACATTAATATGCATATATACATTGTGGGATACATTCCTCCATTCCTTCACGACCAATAAGAAACTGCAAGCCATGTATTTCCAGCCTGGGCTTGCTCAGCTCAGGCCTGGAGTACGCCGAGCAGCTACGGCTGAGTGGCCTCCTAAATGATGATGCAGATGAGGAAGCGAACTCCAGCGATTACATGGAATTTCTCCATGTTTATCGCCACTGGCCACTCCACTTGACCAAGGTGTGCGTTGGTAGACGGTGCCGCTATAGGAGACGTGCTTCGGTTCAGAAACGCTGCCCGATGTGCTAAACTGAGGAAAGTTCTGAACCTGCCTCCGACGGAGCGAGCACTGGTGAGGGGACTTGCTAAACGGCTGGCCTTCTCGCTGACCCGGCAGGATTCCTGACTGCAGGCAGCAGCTTGTGGGGCTGGTGTGCTAACGGTTTCGTGCGGGGTCCACGACATGTCCAAGCATGTTTGTGTCCACGTCTTGTGAGCCGTCAGGGCGACCAGCCAAGGAAGACAAGGAGCTGCTCATCCAAGCTTCTATGCTGATTCGATACCTTCGCTCAAAGCACTGGGATGTGACAAAGGCACCGGTGCCAGGATCTAGGTACATCATGTACGAAAAACAAGCGGCAGCACTGCGCTGCAACATGCTTGGCCTTGCAGGCAGAGGCCGCAGTCTGTGCCACGGCAAAGTGGCGGCAGGAAAGGCATGCATGTGGTGGTGCTCTTTCTCAAGGTTTCCTGAACACCCCTTGCGTGCTTCTTGAGTAATTACAGCCCATACGCAAGAAACTTTGCCTGCTGCCTTTAAAAAGCCCACAAAAAGCCAGAAAGGGATTGTGCTTCCTTATCCAAGTTATTCGCTGCCTTTATAAGCCTGCAACAAGCCAGAAAGGGATGGCGCTTCGTAATCCAAGTTATTACACGTAGGGCATATTTGCTGTGCTCGTGGCAAGCTGCCAGGAGAATGTCTCTTGCCTTTACATGCCCGATGTTAAATCCGGTCGATGTTCAGCAGCGATTGTGCGCGAATGTGCACTTGGACACTTCTACATCCGGGGCCACCTGGCAGCAGTGTGAGCTTGTTTCAGATGAAAGAGTGATCGTGATCCTGTGAGGCTTTGACCGTCGGCAGCGGCCCGTGGTCTATGTGAAGTTTCGCAACCCAGATACTTGGCTGGGCCGTCCATGACAAGTCCATGGCTTGTGGATGGGGCAAAGCCAAGCTGTGACCCAGGACAGCGGCCAGCACCAGGAGACTCTCAATTATGTCAGGAACTAAGATGTGTTCGGGTGCCTTCCCTGAACACTCAAGCATGGGCTGCACAGGTGGTGTATGTCCTGGAAAGACTGCTGGCAGTGCTACAGAAAGTGTCGGAACAGAAAGTGTCGGAACAGCCTGAAGATGGCGTTGACAACGATTGCGCCACAATGCTGGTCGACTTCACCGGCCATCGGCTGAGCATGTCAGAGTTCTCTTGACTTTCAATGCAGCAAAAGATGCTGCCGGACAATGGGCCATGACTTGCTTCTTATCTTTCGGCGACCGAGGCTATGAGTCCAGCAACAGGCGGGGGGAAGTGCAACCAATTCTTATTGTCCAACTTGGCAATGTCAGTATCCAGGCCCAGTATCCAGGGGCTGTTCTGTGTCTTGGCATAAGCAAGGCCACGGCTTTGCACGCTACGTGCAGCCCTTCAGATCTTCCAGGAGCTGGGTGACAAGTTTGCACATCGTGCCCAGAAGTCTAGGTGACGGTGGATGTGCAAAGGCCCGCACGGGCAAGCTATGCAATCATGGGAGGACCACTACCCCGAGATCTTCGGAGATGTTTACTTCTATTATCCTCCTCAGAAGATCGTCTGCTTCTGGAATTGTGTTGGGCCTTTCATAGAGCAACGTGCCAGAGCCCTAGAATGCTCCCAACACCTTTCTGATGTCCTCTGCGCACTGCCCACGATCGTCGCCTGCATCTTGCTGCAGTTTGATGCATGCCTTAAAGTGATTCCAAGCGTGATACATTCAGGTCCGCGACAGGGTGGTCCTTGTTACTTCACCTCCTCAGTGGCGTCAGCTTCTGACCAACACCTTCGATGCGCAGCGGTGCTTGGGTGCGGAAAGCGAGTCGGGGATTTGACTTCCCGCAATCGGTTCACTCTTCTGTTGGGTTTGCTTTGTGTTCATGGCATTTCTGGGTTTGAGGGAGACATGGCGAAGGTGATAGACGACCTAAAGGACCTGGTTTGGTGCAGTCATGTTGTATTTCCAGGCTGGAGCGCAGCCTTGGTGGGGAGAACCAGGCAGTTTTCAGCTCCAAGATCTTCCTGTCCAAGAAGGCCAGCTGCATATCAGCGATGCTGACGATCATAGCAGTCGTAGCAGTAGTAAGAGTAGCAGCTGCAGGAGTCAGTGTAATAGTAGTACGAATAAGAAAGCAGTGACATCAGAGTCCTTTTTACAAGATGCTTGCGTGTTGAGGTCGCGGGCTCCATCTTCGGCGCCTTGGCTCATGTTGCTTCCTTCTGCCTGAGACCCCAGAGGGGTGGTGGCAAGATGGCCTTCCAATACTCCAGAAAGATAACTTGCCCCGTTACGGCTGAAGACGGGTCTTCATCCTGAAAGTTTGAGGTTGTGGAGGTGGAGGCTTCTAGACCGCCGTCGGCCTTCCCCATCCTATGGTGCACCATAACGCGCATGAGGGTAGTTCAGCCGTTGGAGTGACATGCTTGTTGCATCCCAGCCCATCCCAACCAGCAGCAGAGACTTTATGACAACAGTGAATGACGTTAATGCTACAATGCTGGCATGTTAGTTCTGTTAGTTGCAATGGTTGCATGAAGCCATGGCGACCTTAGCTTATGTATCAGGGACAACAATCTTCAAGCCCTTGTCAACTTCCAACATCCAGAACAGGCCATGTGCGCTGCGTAAGGCCACGAGTTTGACGCTCAAGCCGCGGCTCCCGACACCATCCCGCGCGCACGGGTGAGCTTCTCCAACATTGTGCAGCAGGTAGAGGCGGAGATCCTGAACCTATTCATTCTTATTCTTCTGCTGCCCGACTCTTGCCTGCTGTTCCCTCCTCCTGCTACTACCGCCACGGTGCCACGACCACGGCCACCGCCACACGCACAGGCACCGGCCGGCCCCTGCCCCCGGCCGCCGAAAGACTATTCTTTGACTCTTCTTCATCTTTCCGATGCTGTTCCTAGCGTGCTTTTCAATTCCAAGATGCACGGTTTCAATCCATTGAAAACATGCTGGTACCAGGAGTCTGGAGCCTCAACGTTGGTCCAGGAAACTGCTGAACCAGAGGGGCCACTCACAAATCTGATGGGTACCATCAGCTGGCTCTTCACCTAGGGCTGCAGGGAGCTTTGCATAATGCTGTGGGTGCTTCTTGTTGCCGGTGCTAGTGATAGATGTGCTTGCGCAAAGTGCAGCCTGGCAAAGTTTTAAGCCAGTGCGGGCTGCTGGCCTACTAAGAATTTCTCTGTCAAGAATGCTTGACTCTCTGTCCATCATTTTGAAGCTGAAGCGCCCCTAAGACGTCCAACAACAAGTACAAAGAAGCAAGCTTTGAAGACATGAGTCTGGGCTGCGCATGTATCATTCAGTTGCCAATGACTTGGTCGCAGCTTTGAGCTGCCATTGCTTGCAGATAGTCGGTCCAAGACAAAAAGACTTGTTTGGCAGTATTTCTTGCTTGGCTGTTGAGTTGCTTGAACCATTTTCTCCTTGTGCTTCCAAGGCAGGCCTCATCCACACGTGCTTCGCTGCATGGCTCAAGCAGGCGACTGCGCCGACCTCAGATGAGTGTCCAGCTATTCATCAGCAAGAACTGGCTGTTATGTTTCAATCGCTGTACCTCTGTGATGTTCCGACATTGCATCTGACCTGCCGGTGCTGCGAGATGCATCAAGCTGCAGGAAGCGGCGAAGAAGCGCCTCAAGGAGCACAGGCCTTAGCTCGTCCGAAGCCGTGTGGTCTACCTTCTTCATGCGCCCGGCGTCATTGCATTCATTAGTTTTTGCGGGATTTTTTTTGTCCAGGTGCATGCTTGTTCAAAGACCCAAGCCAGGGCCAAAACAGCCCAAGTGTTCCAAACCCTGAACTGCATGCAACAAGATGGAGTGTGATTCAAAAGCGTGGCGCAGCATGAGAAGGCTGAATCGCTTCCCCCTATACATTAAACATCCCTGTTATTAAGCACGAGTTCGCCACAATTTCAAGTTCTGAAATCTGCCCCAAGACTATTCTTAGGAGGGCCAAGACTAAAGTAATTGCGGCTCGGATCCTCTGAATTAGGGGGTGTTTTAGCAAGACTCTTAGGGCTTCGGGATCCCCATGATTTCCTAGATTTAAAGTGTTTTTGAATGGTTTTGTTAAAGGAATTCATATAGAAGACTTCCAGAAACAGATTCCCAGGCCCTAGTTTGGAATAGTCCATACGAAAACCCTGATTCGAAATAGTTCCTAATAAGGCCCTCAATTGTAATAGTCCCTAACAAGGCCCCAACTTGAAATAGTCCCTAATGAGGCTCTAATTTGAAATATCTCTACTTGAAATAGTCCTTATTTACAATAAGGCACTAGTTTGAAATGGTCCCTAAGAAGGCCCTAATGTGAAATAGTCCCTAATGAGGGCCTAATTTGAATAGTCCCTTATTAGATTTAATCTGACTTCGTACGATTTTAATAAGGTTTCAATTGCTCCCCCTAATGTTCGGGTCGTACGATGACACCACACCCCTAATGTGAAATATTGTGAAATACGGTTCGGAGTATTTATCTTGAGGGGCAGCCGTTTAATATTAGGGGGAAAGGATTACGCCAGTCAGCAAGTGAAAAGCTTCTAAAAGCGGCAAACATCATGACCGGTGCGAGTGATGCTTGCAAGAATTCGCAAAGCTTTGTTCCCGCTACTTTGGGTGGATTTCCTTGAATGACACAGTGGATGTATTTCTCCCTGCTCCTTTGTGGTGATTTCCAGTGCTTGGAGCCTCAAGCAGCTTGAGCCATAGGAATCCCGAGCGTCCACAATGTTAAAGCCGTTCTTGACATTTTTTGACGAAACATCATGCCTCTGAACGCAGCGCTCAGGCGTCGCCATGAGTCAGTTCAGCTCGCCTTACAGAAGCCTGGGCCCAGTTTTGAGCCACCATGACATGGACAAGATGCACTTGAGTTGGGCTAAGCAGTGCGATGCTAGGCAAGAACACAACTGCAAGGTCTCTAAGTGATGTGGAAGCAAGGGGAGAAAGATGAGGTGGCAGCGAGGAAACACGAAAGGCTTGCTTCACGAAATCCTTGCCGGGCACGGTGCTGAGTTTCCTAGCGCGAGTATGCTCATGCGACGGCCGCTAGAGAATGCTAGGTCTATGCCAAAAAGCTTGCACCGCCAAGCACGTTGTCATGTGACTTAGAGCTGCTTCACAGGTGGTTCCAGATCAGCGTGGCAAAGCGACGACAGGACAAACGGCTGTATTTGCGGAGTTTGCTAAATTTGGGCCATGTTTTACGTAAGGCTTTAGTGCAGGGCCGTGCAGGGTTACAGAGAGGGGCCTGCCACACAGATGGACCTCGTCAAGAAGAGCCTGGTGTCTTGGGAGCAAGAAGCCGGAGCTGGCGCCTGAGAAGCTGCGCTGTGGTCACATCACATTGCTGAACTGCTTGGTAAGGTCTCCCTTGCCCAGACATGCATGGCAGCCTGGAACAAGCTCGTGGCAGCCCAATACCCAGGATGATGAATTTGTCCCGTGCCAATGTTTAGCAGCAAGCCCATGCAAAGCAACAAAATTCTTGCAGATCATGCAGATTAGCGGCCACGCAAACTCCCGAGGCAGCCAAGCGGGAGCACAGCAAGAAGAATTTGCCTTAGATGTGGAATTCGCACGTCAATGATGGCAGGCTTTGCGGTATTTGTGGTGTCTGATCTTCATAGGAGCTTGCTCCGCTTGTTCAGAGGTTTGCTGCAGTCAGCAGGATTTTGCACAGGGAACGTTAATTCCGTCCCCCCAGCATATATTTGCCCATGCACGTGCAAGACACGCAGGCATTTCCATCTAACCTCAGCAATGAGGCATCAACAGGAGTCCGTTGCGCTGGCACTTCAGAAGTGGGGACCTTATTCGCTCGCTACCCATCGCCCGGGTGAACAGAATTCAAAGTGCGATTCTATCTGCATTTGCCACATTCTCAAGGGCGCCGAGGTTCAAAGGAGGTAGTTAAATCAGTGTTCCCAAATGTCCCGGACACCTCCCTTACGGACATGGTAATTGCAGCTTTCAGCGCTGATTCGTTCAGTTTCGTTGAACGGGGCCTTTGGACAGGGTTGGAGTTGCAGCATGGCATCAGATGGCCTTACGTAGGAGGCCTTTAAAAATGAACAGAACAAAGTCGAGCTCCTTCAAACAAGTCGCACAGCAGCAGAGCTTCAAATCGACCACAAATCGTTTCGCATGTGAACATGGATGGAAGAGGTTTTCTATTGCTGCACATCTCCTCGTGCCCGCAGTTTGCTCTCCGCCAGGTGGGAGAGAGGAAACGAGCGAGGACTGTTGCATGAAGTCCTCGACCAGTTGCGCGCTCAATTGCGTGAGAGTTGGCCCTTCAGATCATGACTTTCGGCACAAGCCCAGGTGGTATAAGCTCTTTGTGCCGCGATCACGGCAGGCATTGGGCCTAGGACGCACTAGAGACATGGCACGCTTTTTTCATGACGAATAGATAGCTGCGCTTCTCCGTGAGAAGCCCGCGTGATTACGGGACCACCACAGGAAAATGAATTTACGTGCAAGGCGCTCAGGTTACCATAGATCCTGGAGACTATCTCAGCATCTTCTGCGTCATCCCTTAGAGGGATCGCCACAATGCCTTGAACATCCCGAAGCCTTCCCTGGCATCCACATTGGCATCCAGATTCTGAGAACTCGTTAAATCAATCTTGATGCCCTTGAAAACTTCTTCATGATTTTTGTGGTCCCCATTGCGCAATACACGGCAAGCTTCTCTTGTCCGTTAGGTTCTGGTATTTTGCAAAATTGCGTGGTGCAGCCAAGCGAGGACAAATGTAACTTATCCCTCCTCCTAGTGCGTCCAGCCGCATAGTCCCCACATGGTACAAGTATGTGATGCGGGGAATATTCTTTACCCTTCCCCCGTTGACATGGAACCTTTATCAAGACTACTTATAGCGGTGTTGCAAGAGACCGTATGAGGTTCCATATTAGTTGGGAGTGGATGCCTTAAATCCCGCTCAGCCTTTCTGGGGCCCCAAGCTCCAAACCCTAAATTCTGGTTGTTGACTGCCCTTGGCTCCGCTGGGGTCAAGGAACGAACCGTGCCTGCTTCAGTCCGATGCGCGTGCCCAAACCCCAAACCCTAAACCCTAAATAGTAGTTTCAAATCTTCCATTATCCTTATATAATCCCTATATAGCCCTTATATAACCCAATAAATCCCTAAAAAATGCAAGCGCCCACAAAAGCACCCAAGATGGCACAAGTGTTGAGGCAGGTCTGCTGAGCAGATACCTGGTGTCCTGGGAGATGGAAGCAGAGGCTACAGCTCAAGGTTTTGGGGATTTAGGGTTTAACGTTGAGAGTTCAGGGTTTAGGGCTGAGGGTTTAGGATTTCATACACTGCTCTGGCCTGCTGGAGGAAACGGGTGGCTAGTAGGGACGACCTTTGGTGGTTATCAGAGCTGAAGGTCAATTGTTTGGGCCGGTTTTAGTTACAAGGACTGTATTTTGGGGGCATGAATCACGTGCGATCGTCTTGGGCTGGGCAAGCCTTGTTGAGCCTTAGTTTTTCCAAGCCTTGCCGCATCTGAATCTCAACCTTGCTCACTATGTGTTCTTATTGACCTTATCCTGCCTCGCTCGAGATATCCAGGGAAACAAGATGCCGCAGGCTCCCATACTCTGCAGCTCAGATGGGACCACCAGGTTGGAATTACAAAGAAGGTGACCCCGGAGGCTCCAGCTCCAAGATCAGATATTGAAGATGCAAGGAAGAAGATAACAAGGCTACAGCATGTTGCGTTTTGTGCCCGCCTGCACGCGTGCGGTGAAGGCTGGCTTGCTGCACACCTGTTTGGCGGCTTGGCGAAAGCTTGCCAATGTCGGGACCTTACTTGTCATGCTGGTCTCAATTACCGCTGCGCAAAGACTGAGCATGTAGGATTAGTGCTGCGCCTTCTGAACCCGAATAGCATGTCAGGAAGTCGCACGACAGCACCTCAGAGAGTCCAGGCCCCAACTGCGGAATAGGCCGGCCGCTGACTTGTTTGGAAATCCATTTGTGTCCCCTCCATTTAAGGCGTAGCCGTGAAGCCGTCACGCTGGCCATGGAGAAGCTGATGCTCAGTCGTTATATCGAACAGTGGTTCAGGGACCCCCTTTGCTACCCCCCCTAAGGTTCCCCTAAGTGGTTAGGCAACCTATAGGTGATGCCTCTGCGTGGGTTTTTGTTGCTGTGTGCCTCGGGCTGAGGTGGGCCCGCGGCAATGAAAAGGGGCTTCTACACGAAGTGATAGGGCTGCAGAGAACCCAGTTTGAAGCCCTTACCGCCACTAGCTGGGCATGCTGGCGTGGACGGGGCATTGCATATCGGCATATCGAGGTGGCATCGTCTGGGCATCACGCATCGCGAGCATGCACTCTCCTCAAAAGGGCTGCTCTACACGCATGTCGTTGAAACAGGCAATGCACCGCTTACTTGGGACCGGAGCCGCAATCAGGAGCACGAGTTGACTTGCTCTTTCCCTGCCAATTGCAAGGCTTGTGGAAAATTCGAGTCTGCCTAGGTGTCCCTCAGAAGCCGTTACCTCATCTCCTGGGAAGAAGAGACGCACGTGGAATGCTCGGTTCGGCAAGCTCAAGTGTACGAGCTGGGACAGAATTTTTTTCCACGCCCCAAAGTCGTTCGATCTTCATGTGAGTAGGATTTTGCATGGGGACCCATTTAGATCATATAGAGGAAGGTTATATCCTCCTTTCGCGTATAGTATTTGACAACAAGAATCCAATCTTATTTGGTTCAGCCACAGAAAAAACACCACTCATGTTGGGTTCGCCACTGGTGTCCCCTTGGACAACCATGATTAAATCTGGGCAACGTGTTTCTCCACCTTATGTAGGAGATACTTCTTAGGACCTTGTCTGCATGCGGGTTCCTGATTGTGGGAGGTATTGCTCTGGGCATCATTCATGTATCGCGATTGGATCTGTTGAGCAGACTCTTGAGAGGTCTGATCTTGATCTTCTGTATGGCTCTCCGAAATAGAGTGTCAACTTGGGGATTCGCTGATGGATGGTGACTACAACTTATGATACAGTACTGAATGCGCTGGCGTGTGACATACGCAGCATTCTACACATGCTATGCGGACCTTCGCCAAAAAAACAGTGTCCACTCGGGCACTCACATTCTTGATGTATGATACTTGTAGAATCAATCCCCATGGATGCAGCATTTTCTGCTCATGTTGCGTCTGCATGGAGAAATGCACATTCGCGCGGACCGATGTGTGACAAATCCGCTGCTTGTAATGGTCCCCCTCTCCCTCTTCTCACGTGCCTGAGTTTGTTGTTTGCAGCTTTCCTTTTGCCCTTCGACTTGCTGCCGGTGCGTGTATGTGTGATTGGTTCGACCACCCTGGCCCCCATGCCCCTTCTCTGAGCTAGTGTCCCCAGCTTAGTACCTCCGTGAGGGATCCCAGCGGGAAGAGCTTCTGTTCCTGCGAAGTGGGCTGTCTCGCCAAGTGGCCAATTCCAAGCCAAGCTGCGCGGCTTGGGGGGGCGGGCCCATGGAGGTTCGGGTGGCACACCCTGCTTGGATTGAGGGGCCCGGAGTGTTGAAGAAGGTGAGAGGGACCATTTCCGTAGGCTGGACGGCGCCCCAGGTCGACACCCACTCACTCACTCACTCACTCACTCACTCACTGTTTGCAGCTTTCAGGTTGCAATTTGCCAGACTTGCTTCGCTGCCTGGCGGCAGCTGGCACACGTCCGCCGCCGAGTTAGACAATGTTGGACATCAGCAGCTTCTCTGACTCGTTTTGCCAGCTTCTTGCCCAGGCAGTGGCCCGGCAGTGCGCGAAGCAGTTGCGCACTCAGAATTCCTGCTGCTTACGGCATCCTACGGCTGAAGGGGCCGCAGCACTTTTCATCAGTTTTCTCCTGACAGGCGCGGCCGTGAGGCTGTCCACTTGGCGGTTGAAAAGCGTCAACCTCAAGTCTGAAAAATAATCAACTCTTTCTAATCAAGCTGGTGCAGGCAAGTTTTGACATCTTGCTAAGGTGGAAGCGTGGCAACGTGGCAGGTCTTCTGCATGAGACGCTTTTGCTGTGCTTTCCTTAGACGGATCACGGCCAAGAAGTAGACATGAGTACTTCTGCATCTTGTGCGGCAAGCGTGCAAGTGCGTTCTGAACATGCCGCCTTGCTTTCGCATTCTTTCACTCGAGTTTCCTCATGTTGAAGCTGCAGCCTCGAGGTGGCAGAAGCTGAGCGCAAACAAACGCCATAGGGCTATGGGCTGAGCTTGCTGCACTGTGGACAATGCATTCGTCAAAGCTTTCAAGCAGCCTCTTAGCACACGCATGCACGCCCAGCTGCGCTATTTTTGGTGTGATGATGAAACCGTGTAATTGCATGTGGATCTCCAGTTCGAAGCTTGTTCAGTCACCAGTGATACCTGGCATGCTCGGGTTGATGCTTGCATCCATGCAGAAATCAAAGACCCTTTTGATTCACCATGCCCCGCAGGAATAGGGCTTGGATTTTTTTGTCCACTTGCAGCGCGTACTGCCGCGGACCAGACTCCAGTTCCCATGATGCAGCGAGCTTTCGATGAGAAGGGACGTTCTCCGTCTCGTGATAGCGTCTCGGTTGCCTCCAGTTCGAGTGACTCCACGACCGACTCGCCCAAAAGCGAGCCTGAGAAGAGCGAGAGCAAGTCCACTCGGCGGTACCGACGACAACTCATGCGTCAGGAGAAGCTTCAGGAGAATCCGTGTGATGCTTGGGTTACACGTTGCAGTCCAGCTGCGTCCCTTTGCACAGCAACTCTCCAGTAACTTGATAAAAGCCAGGCAGCCTGCATCATAAGGTGCATCAGGCATGCCATGTGTTCACCCCATGCTTGTTACGCGATCTGAGCCTTCATTGATCCTGTCAGGAGTTTTTGGCGCAGCACCAATTCTCGCAGGATGTCTGTGAGCCGCGAACTCCTGGATGCTGCCTCTTTGTGGACAGGGAAACCGTGTATCCGATTCACATCGCTGCAGCGCAGGGCGACCAGGAGCACTTTCAACCCGACACGTGCTCATGCAGCCCTCCTTGCAAGACTGTCCTACCAACATGACTGCAAAAAAGCCACCTCGCTGTTCCCTCATTTTTCTATCCCTCCAGTGGTAGCAAAATCTCCATGTGAGTTAGATCGACAGGAGCTCATTCGAATGCTGATTTCCGGCAATGCGGACTTGAACCGAAGGACGTCCAAGGGCCGGAGTGCCTTGGACTTCGCGGAGGAAGCAGACAGCAACGGCTCCCACAGTGGCGTTTTGGAGTTCCTGAGGAACGATGTCAAAGTGCTTGGCCTCCGGCAGGCCCTACAGCTGATGGAGAAGGACCAGCACTGAAAATGGTGAGCTGCCGCCAGAAGTCTAGGGTCACTGTTATCACCAATGATAGGAAATTGCAAATTAACGTAGCACTGAGCCATGGCACAGCCATGGCTTTGGCTGGAGAGTTTCAGACAGCCCCATGCCATAGGCACCAGGCTGGATGGAACGCAGATTCGGCAGGTGCAGGACCGAATTTTTCCTCTGCAACTACGATGCCACTCTGCTCGCCGGCAACAGCTTCGGGGCTGTGCCAATATACGAAGAATCAAAAAGATTTGCTTTGTTAGGTGGATCTTGTTCTTGATGGCCACATTAACCTGCGAGTTGCAGTTTTGCAGCGGTGCGAGGTCTGGGGAACAACCCCCTAGCAGCGTTGCAGTAGCATGTTAGGGTAGGCTTGCAAAACGTGTTCTGAGGACAAGCTCCTTGGCCATTCTCTGATGGCCTTGGAAGGACAGGCCCAGGCAGCGTCAAGATGCGAGTGAAGACGGTGTGGTTGATGCATGCCTGAGCCAAATTGCTGTGTCGCGCAAGCCCTGAGGGCGCTCTCACGGGCACTGTCTTGGCATGCTGGCGGCAAGTGGCGCAGGCAGCAGGGTGAGATTCAGGTGGAAACCTCCCAGCATCGCATTGATGAACAGGCCGAGGGCCGAAAGCGTGCCAAGGAGTCTTGCGCCAAGAGTCCTGCACCAGGCTGAAGGGTAGCTTGTTGAAGTCTAGGGTCCTCGAAGCTAGCATACCTGCGGAATGGAATGAGAAATCTGGAGGCCTCAGGGATGGGCAATGTGTATGATGCCCTGCATGCTCAGGCACGGCCGTGAAGCTGTGACCCTGGCCCTGCAGAAGTAAGGAGCCCGGCAAGGGAGTTCAGATGTACAAGTCCAAGGTGCAGCACGCGCAGTGTAGCGAAAGCAGTAGACTTTGAGGTGGGAGCGCGGCAACGTGCAAGGGCTTCTGCATGAGGTGGTAGGACAGCCTGAGCCTCAATGATTCTGTAGCCTGCTGCCGACGTGAGGTAGCTGGTCTTTCTGCAAGCCAGGTGGCACAAGCTTAGCAGCAGCCGCCGTCAGAGGGCCTTCAGCTCAGATGTGCAAAGGTCCGCGTTGGTCCGGCACTAGCCGCCTAGATTCACTGGGTTTGTCGACGACTCTTTGGGGTGCAGGGGGTGGTGTGTGTGAGGATCTTAGCATGCTGGAGCAGGCTTGCAAAACGTGTTCTGAGGACAAGCTCCTTGGCCATTCTCTGATGGCCTTGGAAGGACAGGCCCAGGCAGCGTCAAGATGCAAGTGAAGACGGTGTGGTTGATGCATGCCTGAGCCAAATTGCTGTGTCGCGCAAGCCCTGAGGGCGCTCTCACGGGCACTGTCTTGGCATGCTGGCGGCAAGTGGCGCAGGCAGCAGGGTGAGATTCAGGTGGAAACCTCCCAGCATCGCATTGATGATCAGGCCGAGGGCCGAAAGCGTGCCAAGGAGTCTTGCGCCAAGAGTCCTGCACCAGGCTGAAGGGAAGCTTGTTGAAGTCTAGGGTCCTGACAACGACACGGCCCGAGCCAGCATATCTGGAGCACTGCTTTACAGGGAAGCTGGGGAATTCTGCAAACGTACCTGCGCACTTAGGCATGGCCGTGAGGCCGTTACCCTTGCGCTTCAGAAGTAGGGAGCCTGGGTCTTCTGAAGGAGTTGCGTTGCCGGCATGAAAACAAAGCATCGACCTCCTGGATGCGTGTGAGGTGGGAGCGAGGAAATATCAATGGCTTGCTGCACGAGGTGCTGCAGCAGTGTCTGCCCCAGTACTGCAAGTTCACCAAGCCAGCATGCGATGCTTGATATTCAGGAGTTTTGATTGATTCAAGTGCCTGCAGCTGCCATGCCTTGAGCAAACAGGTGGCACAAGCTCTTCGCGGGTCGGCGGCAAAAGGTGCTTTGTCGGCATTCACTCCGGCAGCAGGGAAACGGAAGAGGCCCTGAGTTGCAGGGGTTTGAACTTCCAAGTCAGGCCAAGCTGTTGGAGCGACACTTGCTCAGCATGGAGGCACAAACTGGAGCAACTTGGCGGCAGAGCACTAGTATCATAATTTTTTATTGTGATTATGATTAAATTCTTATTGTTCTTATGATTATCAATATTAATTTTGCTGCGAGTATTGTTATCATTATTGTTCTGCCATTTCTGCAGTGATAGTTCCACCAAGAAGAGTCACAGCTTAAGCTTGCTGGGGATGCGGTGGTTCTGTGGAGGTTGGGCTGCTCGGCAGCCTCTACGCCTTGTGGAAGCAGCAGGTTCAGGCCAGGCAGAGGGAAGCTACGGGTTTAACCCCCTCCATTCCTTTTGGAAACAGTAAATGCTCCCCGTTAGCAGTCATTGAACAATTCAGTGATCATGGTTGGGTACATTTGTGTTCCGCTAATGAGAGGGGGTGGAGGTGCCAAAGCACCACCAGAAATATTTTGTATGACAGGCGGAGGGGATCATGCTGGAATTGGGAATTGAGACGGCTTGAACGGATGTGGGAAGTAAAAGGAGCGCACGCCGGGGTCACTGAATCAGGCGGAGAAGCGGCAGAGAGCCAAAGAGCCCGTGACCTAATCATGCAGCTGATATCTGGGACCTGTTCGCAGGCAAGGATTCCTATTTGTCATGCTGAAAAGTGCATGTGATCTTTCCCGGCCCAGAAGCTGTGCCAGCGCAGCCCTTTTGCTGAATACTGTCAGCTCTGCGAACGCGGCCATGTTTCTTGCACAGCAGTTTTGTCCTTGAGAATGGCAAGATGAGAGATTCCAGTCTCTTCCGACAGACAGGCCTCATCAGCACACCTGTCTGTTTGTATTCGAAGCTGTTCATGAGGCGAGGCCGCGAAGCTGTTCATTTAGCCCTGCAAAAGTCGGGGCCCTGGCACATCAACGGGCCCAAAAGACCCAGCATGATCAGCTTGTACTTGGTCCTTCTGTATGGTAGCCTCTTTAGGCTACCCATGTAAAAGGGCATGATACTTAGCAGGCTTAGCACAGACCTCGAACCTGACGGTTTCTGTTTGGCCCTATGTCACATTGACATTGTGCAGGTGGGAGCGCGGCAATGCACGCGGCTTGCTTGCAGAAACTCTGTCAGAGCATGGGCCCCAGAGAGTGCCAGAGACGAACCATGCCCCCATGGCGATCTAAATTTACAGTGCTTGCATGAAGAATCCTGTTGAAGCTCTGCCTTTCGCAGCAGTGCAGCTCAGAGCCGGAAGGGGTCGGGTTCCAAGAGCTGGCGTCCTGTTTTGAGTGGTGAAGGTGGTCCCGTCTACGACAGCTTCACAAAGCAGAGGCCAGCCATCGACAAAATCGTCCGCATCAGCCTGAACCATGTGCAAAGGAGAGGCTATTGATAACCCACAGCGCACCATGCCTTCTTGAGTTTGGATCAACAAGTTGTTTGACAACCTGCCTTTGACAATCGGCGGCAATGTAGGAGGATAGGCAGCAGGCAATGTGCCAACAAACGCAGGATTTCGCAGGGAGACGACATGCAAGGACGTTCGGTACTGGCCGACGATGCGGTTTGGTAGGATTCCAATCCTGCGCCTTGGACATCAGGTCGTCAAATCCTGGAAGTGGTGCCCACCGCCTGCAGGTCCCAAGGCATCCCGCAGCCAATCCAACCCCCTGCCCCCCGATGGCAAAAAAAGAAGCACAGCAAATCAAGCACATTCCCAGACTGCAATTGCACATAAATTGTGCATAACATGCTGCAGCCTAGCATGAAGAACCAAAAGGACTCTGATAAACCAATCAAAGCTAGGGCGGAGTAAACCAATCAAAGCCGCAGACAGCTTCTCCAACTGGGCTAAATTCATCCTGAGATCCGTGAGCACTCCAAGGGTTGACTCAGATTTTGCCAGACTTAGCAATGCGCCGACATCGTGTGTTGAAAGGCTGCAGGTGCAGCGAGAAATGCAGAATGTGCGACAGCAGCACTGGTGGTTAATGGCATCCGCTGTTCTCCAGCTTGTAGATTTCAAGAGCATGGCCCCGAAGGGGGCAACAAGCAAACATGGAATGGAAGAACAGCAACGCGTCAAAACAACCAGCAGTTATGCGGATGCGAAGTGAATCGCTCCCCGCTCCCTTGCCCTCCAATGCCGTAGCGAAGTCCTTTCTATTCTTTTCTGCACGTCCGTATAGGCTGCAAGTTGAAGGCAGCAGAGCAGAATCCTTGAAAGGCATTTGAGAGTTGACGCGTTACCATGCCCAGTCCGAATGGAGGCACGTCGTGAACGAGCCCACCAGACAGTGTTGATGATGCAGCGGCCTCACCTGTTCGATGGTGTTCGGAGTCAGATCTCGGATCAAAAGCTCGCGGATTGCTTGAGGCTCCAAAGATGGCATCGTCCGGGCCCTCGCGGTGTGGCCGCCAGAAGCCAAGCTAGAGGAGATTGCTTGATGCTACCTGCGAGCAAAATTTGCTGAGAAGCAAAAACCCGCTGTCAAAGGCTTGCGCTATATCAGCGTGGGCTCGCCTAGCGGCAAAGCGGAGAGGTCGGCCTGCCTCTGGATGTTGGCGCGCAGCTGTACCCAGATTTGGTCTCGGAGGACGCTCACGCGCAGCTGCTTCGATTGAGTTGGGACCACAGATGTAGATGGACAGGGTGCAAGTTTTTTGTCCATAGGCTCGGCCCAGTTGCTTCGTATAGGAGTCCTTGGGTAAGTCATTCTTACTTCCTGGCCTAGCCTTTCTTCTCGCAACAATGCATGCTGCTGTTGCCAGATAAGGCGCCAAGTCGGGCGGTGGCTGCTGTCACGCGCCGGTGCCATGCGCCAGGCCGTTGAGGACTGAGCAAATCGCCTTGCATGGCTGGATGTTGCCATGCAACGGGGTTGCAATGCCAAATGGGCTCCTGGCTGACTATGCATTGGACTGAGATCATGGCCTGCTGGCGGAGGGCGGCACCCTTGGTTTGTGCCAGGATTGCATGGGGTCAGCATAGAATGCATGCACGTTCACATGCTTATATGTACATATACATGTGTGTGTTGCTCACTCACTCACTCACTCACTCACTCACTCACTCACTCACACTCATTCACACACACACACACACTCTCTCTCTCTCTCTTCTCTCTCTCTCTCTCTCTCTCTCGCTCTCTCTCTCTCTCTCTCTGCACACACACACACTCTCTCTATATATAGATATTATACAGAGGGTTTTACATATGCGTATACACATATGTTCTGTTGATGTTATCTGCATATTCCCAGTACTCATATTAGTACTGATAATAGTAGTCGTATAATAGTAATACTAACAATAGTAATAATAGTGGCAATAGTTATAACAGTATTAATGTATTAGTTTTCAAAGGTGGTCCGGCGGAGCAAGGCGCGGACTTCCGTGGAGCTGGTGTTGCGCCAGCGCAAGGCTAAGAGTTTTTCTGGGGGCCAAGCACCCGGGATCCACCGGATTTAGGGTAGAAAATATTGGGGGATATATAAGGGATATATAAGTGTCATATAGGGGGTATACAGGGTGTATATGAGAATAATAATGGAAAAGAAAATGGAAACTACTATTGAGGGTTAGAGGATGTGGGTTACATGAGCTATACATTCCTAGTATCCCCCCGAATAAGCCCTAGTATAGGGTTGAGGGTTTAGGGTCTAAACTCCTAGTAACGCCCTTAGTAACCCCTATAGTAGTCCCTTATATAATCCCCCTAAAGGAAGTTTAGAGTATAGCTCACATAGGGTTGTTACAGGGCAGAAGGCCGGTGTCGGATATGATTGCCTGGGGGGGATATGGTGTCAGGCTTCATTGTATAAAAGGGTTGAGGGATTGTTCTCCAGCAGGCAAGGGCTACACAGCCATGCAGGGATATGGAGGCCTACACGGTGTCGTAGATATTGCATGGGAAAGCAAGAAGGGCTATCCTTCCCAAACACCTCAGAAGGACAATTGGAGTAGTGTTGTGGTGAGGTTGGTCAAGAGTTTTGTGCTCAGTGAAGGGGCTAGATTCGCTGGGTATTGTGAGCGCTTGCCTCGAACGGTGATTTGACCGCCATTGGACTTCCATGAGGAAGCAGTGTTGGATTCAAGCAGCGCACTCAAGTCTCCCATGCAAACTGTGGATGGTAATTGAATCCAAGGAGGGTGCAGGAGTGGAGCAACTAAGGAGGGGAGTCTGTCCGAGGCCTGGCAGGTCGTCCTGAGACTCGAACAGTCTTGCGTACTTCGCCACTTTCCTGCTTGAGTTATCCCGCGTTGGAGACCTCGCTTGGCTATGAGGTAGTCTTGGGTTCCTGTCACTAAGCCCGTCAACAGTCCTGGCTGGTGGCTTGAGGCTTTTCAGTCAGACAACTGGGTCCCTTTTTTGTTCAGTCCCGCTGTTTTCATGTGCTCGATCCGTGGCACATGTGGTTGGATATCGCCAAGTTTTCTGTGGCAAGTTTTCCGTGCGCACCTGCGTGGGCATTGCCATGTTCTGACATTGCCAACGCCATTCCCACATCCTGGAGAGAAAGGGAGTCGGACAGTTTGGAGTTTGGGAACATGCTGGCGTCATGTTTATCTTTCAAAGAAGGGAAGTCTTGGAAACAACAGAAGTCGATACGACAGTAACCTCGGAATGCCTTCTGATGCTACCCTGTACTTAGAATTCCCACTGTTCATGGTACAATGATGACAAATGGCAAGCCATGGCCATGGCAAGCCTTCAGGTTGGAAGCGGGCAAGAGCGCCGGTCTGATGACCACCGTGGCTTGTCTACAATCTCAGCCAGCACAACTCCAATTCTTGAGTTCTTAAGTCTTGTAGTCTTGTGCAGGTCCTTGCAGAGTGGCGAAAGGCACGTCAAGCGCGTACCTTTGATGGACAGTTCAAGCTCGGTAGATCATCTCGCAGGTGAGGAGGAGGCAGAAAGCCCATTCTTCCCTGGAGCTGCTTCTGCGGCAGCGGGAGCCTTGAGAGCGCAGAATTTACGGAGGTATGATCGTCATTTTTTTAGTCTTTGATGACATCTGCCATGATTTCGATGGCCCCTTGGAAGCCGTTGACAACCCCAAGGTGGGAAAGTGGGTTTGCAAAAGGCCTTCAGACCACCGTCCGCATCTCACTCTCAGACTGTCTGCTTCCGACTTCACAGGTTTTTGGGTTCGAGCGTGCGTGTTGAAGCAGCAAAATCATCATGGATAGATTATGAGCTAAGGTCGTTGCAGAATGGCTGTGCCCACCCCAGATTGAGCACTCAGCTCGCTGGTCTTTGTGCATTTGACACCCAAAGAGTCTAGCATACTGTAGCCCTAAGCTTTCATAAGCTGAAGGTTGGCGCGGTTGCTTGATGTGGAGGGCATGCAGTTGATTCTGAAGACGGCATTTGCACATGTTATGTGCATCTGTGAGCTCGCAAACTGCAGCCGTTGTGTCCAGCATTGGTCGGTGCATCCTGCGCCAACCTGAAACTACATCCAGAAAGCGACTTGGCACCAATGAGGTGAATTCTTCCAAGAGTTTCTTTTGGGATGAGGTTGCAAGAGCAAGACAATATGTGAGAAGGCGAGAAGCGGAACATGATTCGGAGAAGGTCCACCAAAGATGACCCCTTAGGAACTCATGCCTAAGCCGAACAGGCCGCCTAGCATCGTGGCCCTCAATGGTCCTTATGATGCATCACCCAAACTTCTGGATTCGCGGGTGAACCGGTTGATGCATTGGCCAGCCAGAATAAATCCGTGCAGGCATAGTGAGGGATAATGAGTTGTGGGAGATCTTATATTCAGCTTTCCTGGCCCATGAATTCCACTCATGTGCTAGGTTCACCGCGGAGGAGTCTTGGTGTTTCTTCTTGCTGCTGCTGCTGCTGCTGCTGCTGCTGCTACTGCTACCGCTAGCGCTAGCCCTACTGCTACTGCTACTGCTGCTGCTTCTGCCCCCACCCTACCCCCCCACCAACTATGTTTGCTTAAATGGCCAATATAAAAGTGGGGGAGGCGGCATTACAAAACAGTAAGCAACATGACAACGAAATGCTTTCCATGCAGGGTGCTGGTTAGTTCTCGAAGGCCTGCTTTATGAGCCTTACCTGGACTATGGCTCCAAGAGATGCCAACGTGGAC